TGCGCGCATCATCATCGATCGACAATAGCTTCTCATTTAATAGTTTATTAATTTATTTTGTTTTCGTTAAATTGAATTTCATAATTTTAACATCCTACCTAGATAACTGGTCATTATATTACTTGTCAATAAATAATACGTAAATACATAGGTACACATACTTCATCGTCATCATCTCTCTCCCTCCTTGTCTCTCTCTCTTTCTTTACTCTCCTTTCTTTCTACTTCTCTCTTAAATACTTTTCTCTTGCACATCAATTCGCTATCATACGTATGAAGGTATCGATAAATATAAAAATTCTCTATTCAAGTATATGATAGAAAGAGAACGATGATGATGATGATAATGACCCTCTCTCATGAACGTAATCGTAATATCAATAATATTAATAGTAATCGCAATAATAATAATAGTAGCACAATAATATTATTTGCAAAGATAACAAGCATAATAGTCGTTAAAAATAATCGTATGGTAATAATCGTATTTATAACAATATCGATCGTTCTGGTCTATCTTTTTCGATGTCCCTTACGCCTATTCTTTCTTTTTCTCCTATACGTTTCTTTCTATTACAAAATTCTCGCTCGTTCTCTCTTTCGCCGATCGGCGAAGTAAAATCTTGGTCGCGCATGTCTCCACAAAACGACATTGTTAGTCTCTCGCTTTCTTGACGACTGATTTTCGAATGAACGCGCCTCTGCGTCCGGTGAATGCGATAAAAAAAAATGATCATGAAACGCAAACGAAGAATGAACAATAAATAATCGGACGAATGACAGATGAGCACGTAGGCGATAGATACATATGTATGCGTATGGGAAAGTAAATCTCGCGATCGAAACAGAAAATCGTGTAACTTACAGGCGGTAAAAAACTTACGCACTAATCTATAGAAACTGGGCCCGAAGGCCACTCTATCGCTTCTCGTTTGCAGCGACAAGACAAATCGCTTTCATCGCCGTCTTCACCGATATCACCGTACTTCAATATCGTCATCAACGATCGGTCTAATCGAGCACCATCGTTTTCGTGTAGGCACGAATGTGTCTCATATAGAGGAGAGCTTTCTCCGACTTTCATTCGGCGAAATCCGCTTTTAATCATCAGGATTATGCTTCAACCAGACAACGTACGAAAGACGTCCTGGTCTTTTAGGCGGTTTCATTTTTCAAACATTACTTAGAATTCTCTCGATTCTCGTAATAAAATCATAGGATGTCTATTGACATGACACAGTCTATCATTTTTGCGATATTAATTTAATTTCGTTAAAGTATTATTTGCACTTGATCTCGCAAGAATGGTGAGTAAAGGTGTCCTCTATAAGTTACAGTTCGATATTGCGCTTAATCGCACTTGTCTCTCTGTTTTACTTCTTGTATATCAATTCTCCTTCTGGCCTATATATTCTCCTGTAATTCCGGATAATGATCAACTTCTACGTACACGTTCGGTACATCCTTAAATCGCAGCTACAGTCACTTTCACATCGGGTCGAAATCGACACGTTTTGATTTCGATTCGAATTTAATTAATTCAAGGCGATACATCGACTCAACATGACACTGTCGGCATGCGACAATTGCGATCTAGGGGTACACACGCAGGGTCGGCACACTAGATGGATTTTTTAAGGTACAATTATAAGAATATTAAGAGTCAAGATATTTGGTATGACCCGGTTTTTCTTTCAATCTTTTAGAAAAGATGGGGTATTCCCAGACAGCATAAGTGTCCAAAATTCATAAAAAAACGTTCGAAAGAACTTAGTTTTCCAAAAGTTTTTTACGTGGTACAGACAGTTATTGTGTATATGCATTTTGAACCTTTGTGCTGTTTGAGCAAAACTTAACCACCATCAACTGCCTCACGAAGACTCACTGATAAACGCGTACTCCTGCATCAGGAAGTCACGGTATACAGCTTTCCACTCCGTAAGATGAAAATGAATGGAAGGCCTGTCATCGACTTATACTAAAAATAATCATGTCTCATGTAGAATCTCAAATAAACGCGATGTTCGGCACATTCTCTTTCTGCGTTATCATATCGTTGTTTATTATAGTCGTCACCATCGTCTTGTCAGTTTATTATGCTTTGGCTTGAAACATCTCAGTTAAGAAAATGTTAAGTACAAAAAGTTCGATCTTAATCATTTCCCCGAATGCATTTTCGCTGATTTCAAACCAGCGACAAACCGTGAAATTCATCTAGGAACGAATATTTATTTAAAGACCAACGATTGGCCTTCTTCAAATATTGTCGATACTTCAGAAAATAGCGATACTTCAAAGAACATCGGCCAAACGTTTCTCACGCAACTGGGATTTAAGTACCGCAATAGATAGAACTTCGTTCAATCTGTTATTACGAAGACAATGATTTCTTATGAAGAACGTGATTTCTTACAGCAGAGATTTTAATCCGTTTCTTTTGATTACCTCTCTTCCTTGAGTCTTTCTTTTGACGCTACGTTACGGTTTAAGCGGCCAGCAATTCTTCCTTCAAGGTCCATCGGTCGAGTTTTCTCTGCCATTATTGTTTTTCTTTTGAAGAATTCTTTTGAACAGATTATTTTTCACTCGATAGATCCTCCTTTATCTTAGGAGTTTACAAATGTCTTCAGGTGTTACATCGAATCGTATCTCGAGAAAACTTTTCTGCAACACCTGACTGCGAGATAGACGAGCTGCAAAATTATTTGTGCGACGCTACAATTATTCGATTACTGCAAGATACCTTTTACTATATTTTCCGTATCTGATACTTCTTTTAATAGGAATAACAAGGTGATACGTAGCCAGGTGAAGGTGATTTTGGGTGCAGTCCATTTGACATTACAAATGTTTCAAAGCATTTGATTAACCAATCGGAAGAAAGAATTTTATTAACTAATTTTATTAACCAATTAATAAATATTTCAAAATATTTGTAATATCAGATGGACCGCAACCTTTATTTCTTTCATAAAACAATGTCATTGTCCATCACGCAAATCTCGCACCATTATTATCAATGTCTGCAAAATCCATATCAAACTATAGAGATTAACCAATCAAAAGAAAGAATCAAATCTAATATCAAGTGTAGAAAACTTTGCTTTGATTGGTCAAATTCAATCTCAATCTCAATCTTTAGTCTGATATACGGGCATAAAAGATCGTCAGTGGTATGATCGCTGTTTTCTAAAGTATCATTCGTGTCACAATTTCAGAAAACAAAGGCCTCCAGTCGAAGGCCTAATTTAAAGAAACGATCCAAGATGAATTGTTCGTTCGTCGGATGGACGCTTTTTTGAGACATGTCATCATCGCCCTGCACTCTCCTTATGACAACGAAACTCTCTACAAATCTCTTCCGGCATCATCCTCGTCGGACTCCTCGGCTAGCTCGGACTGCGTCTTTGTATGGTTGACGCAACGAATCTATCAAGTAACCACCACTCCTCCGCGTATCTCTATTCTCTACGATATAGAAACACGACACACAGATAACTCCTACCCTAGTACTTCTCGATGGAATTTAGCTCCGTTTTACCTATGCACGAATAGACATTTATGACGAGAAAGGGGACCGTTAGTCACGTAACAACGAAGGATAATGTTTTTGCAGGTGAAACGTGGATCGTTCTCCTCGTGCCTCATGTCCTTACGTAATGTCCCGTTAAAGGACAATACACAATTCATCGACGACACGAACGATAAATCCTCCCGATACTTGCGCGTCCATCGAACGCGCGTTCTATCTCGTTCACGATAGCTACGTTTAGCAAAATATTTATTTTACAACTGTTGAAAGTTTTCTTCGTTGAAAAGGACTATATACTATTCCTTTAGACATAAAAGTATAATCCAGGTTCGAAGAAAATTTCTGACAATTACAAAATAAATTCTGATGAACGTGGTCAACAGGTCTGTTCTTTATCGATGAACTGATGCACACTGATGCAATAAGTTGACGTGAAACAAATATAGTATATTTCACTTCAACTTATTGCACCGTGTGCACCAGTTCAGAAAGTTCTTTGCTAAAGAATAGACCTAATATATGCCTCCCCGCGTAAGTTAAAATGCGGTACTTCTTTTCTCTCATTTTTTTCTTTTTTTTTAACTGATATACTAAATACTACGCGGTGCTCTTGAAGCGGCAGCTGTGTCAAAGATATTAAAAGTTTTACTTTGATCTGCTGATCGAGGAGAGAATGCGGGCGAGGAGGTCTCGCATCGATTATTCGATCCGTGTTCAGTGGATCAAAAATAGAAATATCCTAAAATCAATTTATAATTTTCGATAACTAACGCACAGATTGTCACAGGACCGCAGTGCTTAAGGACCGTCGTCGCTTTGCGATCGATCGTCGCTCATGCAACGTCACGATTATCGTTTTGCTTTAGCTTCAATGCGAAATCTTCGCAAAAATTCGACTTGAGCAGTGATCGATAAGATATTGCAGGCGGTATCAGCACACTACGGGCTGCGTACGGTGCAGAATGTGGAAATATAAACATCCGTTGATGAGCGCCGCTGTTATCAGCTCAACATGAATCTTATTCAAATGTAGATTTCTCCCTATTAATAATCGGCTTCTTAGAAGTAAATAATTAATTTATACCTTGTATCCCCGTGCACAAGAGAAGAAACCCTCGCGATCTCTCCCTTATTTTCTCTGTTTCTTTCTTCTCGTCGCCCGCATCTTCTCCTCGCGAAGGAATAAGGAGAACGTCCTAAATTAGATTAAACAATCCCAATTTGAGACCTGAGCGCGATTCACATAAAATCGGTCTCGCTTCCTCAGGATTGCCTCTACATTATTCGACGGGATTTCTACGATCCTGCTAGGCCGCGGAGCTATGACCGCGAGGGAATCTCGAAAATTCGAAATGCTGTTCGTCTTCGGGTCTCCTAGAAGGGGGGTCAGGAATCACCTGACGGGACGGTAGGTCGGCCTGAGCGCTCGACTCTTTTTCTCTTCTTTTTTTTCTATTTTTTTTGTCTGGTAGAAATGGGTCCGAAAACGCAGAATGATAACGCATTCCGGACGCCGCTCAGAACTCGACTATTACGGCTGAGCAGGCTGCCAATCCCTAGAACTCGAGCCTGTAGGCGCTGCAACTAGTCTCGTGATCTTGGAGATTGATAGTACACCTGGACGCGGACGGCGATAGATCTATATGGTTCGCCGCGAGCGCTTCCTCGTTATCGGCGACCCAGTAGCCCAAAGTATCGGTGTCATAGGTCGGAATCATGGTTACCTCTGAAAAAAAAAAGATATAAAAATAATCATTAAAGGCTCTAAGAATAAATAAAAGAAATAGTCAATAAAAGCCAAACGCAGATGTCAAAGCGCAGTATTCACACATTTATTTTTAAACTATTACATATGAAAAATATAAAATGTAATTGTATTGTTTTAGTCCTCTTCAGCGTAAAAATTAAACAATAAATATTAAATTAAAAGAGTCTAAAGGTAAAAATAACTAAATAAGACATAGATTATATATGGATACCAACAACTATAGATTATTCGCAAGTATAAATGAATTATATTTTGTAAGTTCTAATTGAATACGAAAATATGAATGATATGAAGATATGAAAATTATATCAGAATACGCTCGGAACATGTAGTATAATTAATAGAGACATTATTCTCATTTGAATTAATATTCGAATATGAATATGTTTATGATAAACCTTAATTAAAATTGCAAATTTAATTAATATTGCTTTTATCATGATCAAGATAAGTTTTGATACAATGATAAAAAAAAGTAATGATATTAAATAGTTAATAAATATTAGGAATCAATTAAATTGTCAGTCGACAATTATCGAGAAAAATATAAATAATATTGATCGTTGTAGAGTTTGAGATACATTCTTTAATTTTAAATAGAAATAATGTACAAACATAACAACAATTTATTGTGAAAAGATGTAAATCTATAATGTTTTCAACACAATCTTAATAAAAACTTTGAGCGTCGTAGACTTCCCGACTGGGCTCGGTGCCGCTAAAGACGTAATATCTTGCTCGGATTCTCTTGAAGAATTCTAAGGATGTGTAGTACGAATTTCCGTGATGAGGCACATACGCCAAATCCATGTAAACCGGTTGGACTTTGTTCTTCGAATCTTTCACCTTTTTCTCGTTCTTACCAGGACTTTCCGAACGTTTTTTGTTCTTAATGTTTTCCGATTGAATCTTCTTCGCTTGTTTCCGCTCTTTTTTCGGTGTACTGGGCGCTCCCTTGTTCGATACTTCATTGGTCACTGGTGCGGGGGAAGGCAGCCTAAGAGGTTCTCCCCAATTTTTTACAACATCAAAATTCAAAGTATCGGAAGTTGTCTCACTTGAGCACGATGGAGATTGAGTAGAGTTCTTCAAATTAAACTTTTTGGGCGGTTTAGGAGACGGCAGCCCAAGAGGGGTCCCCCATCCCTCCAAAGGATCTTTCTTCGAGTCACCTTTTGAATCATCTTTATCATCTCGGAACGAAGACGATGGATGATCTTTTTCGTCCGTTGCTTCATGTCGAAGACTACCATTCGTGTATCTGGGCGCTATTCCGCTGCTGAAGGTCCCTCCAGCCTCCTTCATCTCTTTATCCATCAAAGCTTTATCGAAGTCGAGGTCGGCCTCGTCGACGTATCTCTTTGCGTCCGGTTTTTCACCATAACCCCCGGCGGGCTCCTTTTCCACTGTGAATCGACTGTGAATGGGATCGCTGCTCTTCTGCATACCAGTCTCACCGTGGAAGGTTTTCATAGCAGATATCTGAGGCGGTACCGCTGGCAGCTCACCGTAAAAGCTGCTGCTCATCGCGGCCGCCGAGAATTCCACTTGTTTCTGCTCCTCTTGCTTATCAGAAGATGATTCATAGCGACGCGTTGCTTGCGGTGAATATCCGACTTGCGAGGTTGAGGAAAGAGACGAACTGGGTGGTTCATCGTCAGAATAAGTATGTCGCTCCTCGCTGCTACCCCATGGGTGTGTCATGACTTTGCTACGTGTGCTACTATGTTCACTCGGTGGACTGGCCGGATCCTTTTCGCTGATTACTTCGTCGGGACTACCGCCACGTTGCAACTCCGAGGATTTGATGCTGCCAATAATGCTACTGATCGCGCTTTCCGCGGCATCTTTGCTTGGCAAACGTTCGTCTACCTTTACATCAGTTTTCTCCGCCAACACAACTGTCTCGCCCTTCTCATTTGTCGTTTCTGTGACCTCCCTGGTGGTCGTTACTATTTCACCTTCATCGGATACCGTCTTCGTAGTCGTGACGATAGTTCGGATCATCTCGCCCGATCTAAATCCTTCCGGTGTGCTCGTTGAGGATCGACAATCGGATCTTTTATCAGGCGTCGATCTACCCGATACGTGAGGTTGAACTACAGCGCCGTCTCTGATCAACGGTGACATAGGAACCTCTGGTGTAGACTTGCCACTGAAGACGATGTCCTTGGGCAGCGATATATCTGGTGAAGACTTACCCGAATAACTTTTGTCATCAGATATAAGTTCTCGTATCAAAGGAGATACCGGATGTTCAAATTTGTCCGTGTCTAAGTGTTCTTTTATTGTAGATTCAAGTTTAGTTTCATGTTTGAGATCAGGTGTTGATTTACCAGAATCGGAATAAAAAGCTTTTACGTCGGGCGTTGTAGTGCCCGATGTCACGGTCGTAATCGTTTCCTTGATGATCTTTTCCGCAGGTTGGGTACTTTCCGTCAATTTTTCTAATAATTCCTCACCGGCCAAAGTATCCGTGCTCTCTTTGATGTCTGTCTTCGTAGTAACTTTTCCGTCCGGTCCGGTAATCGTGGTTACGGTCGTCACTATTCGCTTTACATCGGCGCTGGCTGCGTCAGACGCACCTTCGTCACTCAGAACTTTGTAGGTTGTACCTGAGGTAGGATCTGTGTAACTTTTCGAAGGATCAGCTTGTGCTAATTCGGTATCTGCTAATTCCTCTGTCACGATTGTTCGTGTTGTTCTCGTTGTAATAGTCTTCATATATTCGTCAGAATCTTCCTTCAAGTCGCCGGTTTCTTCGTCAGGAATGACAATCTCGCGTCTGATCACTTTTGTGATAATTTCAGGCTCGTCTTGTTCAATAATTTCGCGTTTGATAACTTTAGTGACTACTTCCGGCTCGTCATGTTCCATAATTTCCCTCTTGATGATTTCGGTAATCGCTTCGGGCTCATCTTGTTGAATACTCGGCTGTTTAATTTCTTTGACTGTTTCTTGTGGTTCAATTCCTTTCATAACTTCAGTTGTCTTCCCAGATTCCTCTTCTTTAATCACTTCATGTTTGATTGTCGTCTTACTTACAATAGCGTCGCCATTCGATTCGACCGCATGATCACCGGATGTAACTGTTGCCGAAATCCTCGCAGTTTCTTCAGGTTTTTCTTTATCGATAGTTTCCGCAATCTTGCTTTCTCTCAATAGCGTAACAGTTTGAGCAGATTGCACAGCTTTTATGTCTTCCACATCTGTTCTCGTTATGTGAGTTGTGGTTAGAGTAGATTCCGACAACTTTTCGGGCACTTTGCCGGTTGGTTCGATTTTGGAAGTCGCGTCATGTGTAAATTCTGGAGTCGATTTTCCAGACAACGTGGTTATATGTGTCGTTCGCATCTCCGTCATACCACCAACGAAGGCCTTGTGAAACTGGCTCTCGTAATCCGGTGGATAATCGGATTTGTCCAACTGTTGCTCACCCGATTCCGGATACATATCCCTGGCATCATGCGGCAGCTCGTAGTCTGTTGTTCCCTCATAGTGAAATATTGCCTTATCGTAGTCCTCTTCTGGTTCTTCCTCTTGATAAATTTCCACATCGATCACAGATTCTCTTGGGATCTTCTTCTTTAATATAATTTCTTCCAGTATCTCTAAGATAATATACCTGGGTAAAGAAGTCATGATGATTATCTCTTCGAGTATCACTTCCGTAATTTTCTTTCCTTTCTTTATGTATTCTTCCTCCAAGAGCTTTTCGATTTCCATTCGCTTCTCTTCTGATATCAGGATCTCCTCGTCTATATGCGGCTCCGATCGAGCTGGACTATCCTGAGTTGATTTGTCGGAAGGAATAGGTTCCGGACTTAAACTGGGGCTAGCAGAAAGCGCTGCTTTCGAATCCCTGCCATATCGATCACTCCCTGCAGGAGATATCTTGCCATCCAGACTTTCGCCTTTTGTAGTGTCGCCTGATTTTTCATGACCGTGAATGTCCTCTTGAGTAACATCTTGAGTTACTTTTCCAAAATCCACGCTAGTTGACATAATGAGTTGCTCTCTTTCTTCAGAAATATCCAGATCTTTTTCTTTCGGTTCTCCTAAGTCACCTTCAATTACAGTGCTTCTAGGTATTTTTTTCTTCACAATGATCTCTTCAATAATTGTAATAAGAATGTATCGCGGCACAGATTTAACAATGACCATTTCTTCCAAGGCTTCCGGCGTGATCTTCTTTTTTTTCGTAATGAATTCCTCAATAATATATTCTTCTACTTTTGCTCTTTCTTGCGGCGCCAGCGGTTCCGTTTCTGATTCTTTTCCGTATTGAGGCTCGGAGGCTTCATCGTCTACGAAATCGAAGACTGCGCTTCTAGGCATATTTTGCCGGTTAATAATGTCTTCTATTATCTCCATTACTATAAATTGGGGCACCGAATACGTCATAACTAATCTCTCGATCACTATCAGACTGATCTTTCTTTTCCTCACGATAAACTCATCTAAGATGTACTTCTCGATCTCCGCCTTCTTCTCGGCTGTCACTTTAACGACGTCTTCTTCTTCATCATCTGATTTCTCTATCTTGCTCGGTTGTCCGACATCCGGTTCTTTAAAATCGGCAAATCGTTTCTCGCGGATCTTCTGCATTTTTTTCTCGATTGTCTCAGGAGAAGTTATGGGACTCTTACTATCTTTCTTACATTCATCCTTCTCATCAAGTGGTTTCCCCATGTCGAAATGTTTTTCCTCTTGAGGAGGTAGCTTCTCTGATAATTTATCATCAAATAAACTGGCCGTTCTAGATCTGCTAGCCGGTGTTTTCTCACCAGCATCGAAGACGCTTTGCGAACGTGATCGATCCTTTGGAGTTTTATCCACTGGCGAACTAGCTCGCGACGATTTAGCAGATTCGTTTTTCGAGATCTTTCCGGTATCCAAACTTGGCGAAATTGATCGTTCTGCCTTTACTTCTGGTATCTGCGAAACTTTAATATCATCAAGCCTTTCACTGGCAACACTGGATGATCTAGACTTATCCTTTTGATCATCGGCTAAACTCGGTGACTTTGAGACATCGGATGGTGATTTCGGTTCCGTCTTATCACTGATAATGCTTAATGATCTTATCTTATCGATAATATCCGAATCATCGATTATACCAGACATTTTTAATCCGTCAACATCCATTTCTTCTATTGGCTGTTTATTGTCATCTACCGGCTTATCAAAAACAATGCTTGGAGATATCGGCCTGTCATACGATATAATATCGTCTGGCTTAACGTCCATTTTTCCAGAAACTGTTGAAGGTTTCTCCTCCACAGCTTTTTCGTGCGGTATTTTCATGTCGACGAAACTCGGAGATTTATCACCAGCACTTTCATGTTCTTTAACACTACCCTTGTCATCCGATGTCTTCTCATCGGACTTATCGCTAGCAACACTAGGAGATTTGCTTCGATCAACAGGTGGTTCTAATTTGTCAGAAACAGGCGATGTCGATTTTTCAAATAATTCCGCTTTCTCACTCGCAACACTTGATGATCTGGATTTATCGGCTGGTGGTTCCATCACGTCTTTAAGATCTGGTTTTTCCTCCGTAACACTGGTCGCTTTCGAGCCATCGGCAGATTTCTTCTCATCAGACTTTTCACTTGTTATGCTTGGAGATTTGCTCCTGTCAGGTTCTTCCTTCTTATCCGGAATTGGCGATTTCGCTTTTTCTATTGATTCTTTCTGATCAGACGTAATACTCGTGACACTAGGTGACTTGGATTTATCCAGCGACGATTGTTCTGTAATATCCGTTAAATCAGTACTACTCGGCGATTTCGATCGATCTTCGAGTCCCTTCGAATCAGTCGTAGCACTCATCGCGGTAGCTGATTTTGATTTTTCATCGGATTGTTCTATGACATCCTTTAAATCCGGTTTTTCTCCAGCAATACTCGGAGATTTAGAACGATCAAGCGATTCTTTTTGTTCTCCTGTAATACTAGAAGATCTCGATTTCTCTGCGATGACATCCTTCAAATCTGGTTTTTCTCCAGTTACGCTTGGCGATTTTGATCGATCTGCAGGTTCTGCAACATCTTTTAAGTCTATTTTTTCTCCTGCGATGCTCGGAGACTTGGAACGATCAATTGGTTCTTTTTGCTCGCTCTCAACACTGATGACACTCGGAGATCTTGACTTCTCCATCGGTGTTTCCGTCACATCCTTTATATCCGGTTTTTCACCAGCGGTACTGGGTGATTTTGAACGATCTGGTTCTTTAGGTTCACTAATGCCGCTTGTTACACTCGGTGATTGTGATTCGTCTAATGGAGGTTGCATTATGTCTTTCACATCCGATTTATCTTCTTCAAGTTTCGGAGATTTCAACACGTCTTTTGGTACTTCGGGTGATTTCGCTACTGGAAGCTGCTCCAGTTTGTCATCTTTAATACTTGTGACACTAGGCGATCGGGTTCTCTCGAAATCTACTTTTTCTACAGAAACGCTTGGTGATCTAGAGCGGTCACTTACTTTCTTGCTATCTGATTTATCACTAGCTACACTGGGAGATCTATCTTTATCATGTGATTCTTCAGTCTTATCAATAGCTTTAGGCGAATCTGGCCTATCAAAAATAGGGGATTTTGGTTTCTCTAAATAACGTTCCGTCACATCTTGAAGGTCCGGCTTATCCGCGGCTATGCTCGGTGACTTTGAACGTTCGGCCTCCTTCTTCTCGTCGGATTTATCGCTAATCGCGCTTGGAGATCTAGCTTCGTCAATTGGTCCCTTTTCATCGTAATGTTCACTCTTGAAAATAGGCAACTTTTCACTTACCGTCTCTTTCTCCATTATACTAGGCGATTTTAACTTATCAGTTTCTTTCTCATCGACTTTATCACTTAAAATACTAGGGGATTTATCGAGAGATTTAATATCTTGTTCGGATTTTTCTAAAGATATTGGTAATTCTTTGTCTACGGCCGGTTTAATTTCTTTAATAGATTCAGGTAATTTTTTTATGTCTTTTTCGATAGCAACGTCTTCTTCGGTAATAGGTGCCTTTGCAAAATACATTTCAGATTTATCTGTCGGTGACTTCGAGAAAATTGTCTCAGCTGGTGAAACGTCTTCTGAATGGAGCGATTCAGGTGTTTTTGGAACACCAATCGTTCCTTCTTTTTTAGGTTCTGGAAGCATCTTCTCGATTGGAAGTTTTGGTTTTTCAGCTAATTCTATTGGAGATTTCTGCGTTGTTGTATCAAGAGGTGAAGGAGATCGTGACTTTTCGATTTTTTTGACTGGAGAACTAGGTTTCTCGATCTTTTCTTCAGCTGGAGATTTCACTTTTTCAATTTTTTGTGCATCTTTCTTAGTCGGAGATTTCGATTCCACTCGTTCCTCTTTAGGCGACTTCGGTATATCTTTTTCTGCAATTTTATCTGATACTTCCAAATCTTTTTCCACAGGAGATTTCGACTTTGTAATATCTTCCAATTCCTCTGGCACCTTTGGCTTATGCAATTCTGATTTTTCCAAATTGTCTTCAAGATCCTGTGAATCACGAGGATCAGCAGATAACTTTTCCAAGCTGTCTTCCGGAGTAATCTTATCCTTACCTTCTGGCGCAGATTTTTCGGAAATACTATCTTTCTCGGGAGTACTTATGTCCGAGTGCGAGTCTTTATCTAAAAGTAATGAATCTTTATCTGGTGTAGATTTAGCAGATACATCTTTAAGAGAATCATCTGGAGTAACCGTTTTCGTAAAAGTTATGCTGCCGCTTGGACAGATCTCAGTTTCCTCTCTGCCATCCTCGCTACATGCTGTAACCAACATCCTTTTGACAGTGCCATCGTCAAATGGTTTTGGTATATTTGCTGTTAATGTTTCTTGAGGGCTCTTTTCTTCCTTAATTATTGGAGCTTCTTTAATTTCTGTGGTTTCTAATGGTTTAGATTTCTTATCGTCTTCAAATAATTCTATTTTCGGCTCTTGTGTGAAGCCTGTTGCATCTGCGAGTTTTGTTTCTGCCTTCGCTTCTTCAGCAACTTTTTTAAGTTGCAATTCCTCGACTTCTTTAACCGCAGGCTCAATTTCTTTCATTCCAAGTTTTTCATCAATTATCTTTGGGCTTGGTGTAATTGATTTAGAAATATCTGGTGCGTCAATTGATGGTCGCTTATCAGAGAAGTCTTTGGGTGGTTCCTTACTTGAGTCTTCGATTGAAGGTTTTTCTGCTTTGTCGGAGATTGATGGCGTCAATGTTGTAGCAGTCTCTTTCTGAAGAATATCATCCGTCTTTTCCTTAGCCTCGTCTAAATATTTCTCAGTAGTATCGACAATTTCCGATGTTTCGGATATTTCCCGTTCTACAGGTTCTCGTTTCGCATCAATTGGTTTAATGTCCTTTGCAATTTGAAGCTCTTCTATTTCCACCTTTCCTTTGGTTTCTTGTACGAACTTCTCGTCTGCTTCGATCACTTCACTCGTGGTATCTTCCACAGATTCTTCAATGTCTTCTTTTTCTTTCATCTCGCTCGCTTTCTCGGGAGACGTGACTGGTACATCACGTACTTTATATTCCTGCTCGACAGCTTCAAAGTCGTCAATCACGTCTTTCTCATGTTCCTTCGCAGCTGAAGACGAAATCTCTGAAATCGCTTTCTTCTTTGTGTCAGCCGTATCGGAAATCCTTCTGGGTATACTAACAAATCCATCCACTTCCTCCTCGACATCCTCCTCTTCGGATGTGACCGATAACTCCTCTGCAGCGCTCATTTCTTGCTCAAGCGCAACTTCTTTCTTGTCTTTTTTTAACTCAATTGGACTTTTTTTCTCTTCAGTACTGAGCATTTCTGTGACCGATTTTATTTTCTCAGTCAGTACTTGCGACTCTGGAATCGCTTCCTCCTTGATAATATGCGATAATTCTTCGTCAGTTACACTAAGTATTGTATGTCTCGGTATTTTTCTTTTAATGATAATTTCTTCGATAATCTCAATAATGATTCTCTTAGGCACCTTCTTTTCACCACATATTTCTTCAAGTTTTTTAATATTAATGTTATCTCCCTTGGTAATATATTCGTTAATAATATATTCTTCAACTTCCGTTCTTTTTTGCGAAGTTATCGATTCCGTTTCTGGAACCTCTGTCTCTGGAACGCTAGGTATCTCAGCGACTAATTTTTCTTTTTCGTCCTCAGATATCTTTTTAGAAATTGCTAATAATTCTTCCTCCGTAACATCAAGTACCGTATTCCTGGAAATCTTCTTTTTAATAATAATTTCTTCGATAATTTCGATAAGAATTTGCTTGGGCACTGACTTTTGAATAGAAATTTCGTCGATTGTCGATGCGGTAATCTTTTTCCCCTTAATAACGTATTCATTAACGATAAATTCCTCAATATAAGTCTTAAACGCGCATTCATCGATTAGTTCTTCTTCTCCAGTTAAAATATCAGGAACTTCAGCAGCGGATTCTTGTTTCGCAGTTATATCTATTTTCTGTTCCTCTGTTATCTGCTCCTCTGCTGATTGCTCTGGCGATTCTTCCGGCGATTTCTCTTGAATTATTTCCGATAATACTTCTTCAGGAACGTTTAGTATCATATGTCTAGCAAGTTTTCTCTTAACAATGATCTCTTCAATAATTTCGATGACAATCTTCTTAGGCACAACTTTCTTAATCGAGATTTCTTGAACGATTTCTATGGTAATTTGTTTTCCTTTAACAATATATTCGTTAAGGATATATTCTTCGACCTCCATTCTCTTTTCAAGCGTGATAGATTCCTTCAGCCTCAGAATCTCTGGATCGTCCATCACACTTTCTCTGGAAAGTCCCTTCTTCGTGATAATCTCTTCGATAATGTAAATCACGCGTTCTCTCGGGATGCGCTTCGTTACGGTGATATATTCGATCACTTCGATAGTGACCTTCTTCTTCTTCGTGATAATCAATTCCTCGATTATTTCTTCAACTGGCACTTCTCTGCTGAGAATTTGCTTGATATCCTCCGGCAACTCACGATAACCAATTTCCAATCCTTCGTCATATATCTTGTCTGTGACAAATTTCGGCGAAGTTGGCGTAGAACCGGGAGTCACCATCACTATCTCCGCCTTCGCCGGCGAAACCTTTTGCTCGAAGCCGATCACGGATTCTTCTATTTCGTCCTCCAGCTTCTCCTCGAAAGATGGCCGTTTCGCTACTTCCTTCACGCATACGCCCTCGATACCAGCCTGCATCACATCTACCCGGGATGTATCATCGTCCGCCGGTTTTTTATGTTGATCGCAAATATGTTGATCGTCCTTTAATATTTCCTCACAAATTTTTTGTGCATCCTGTTTATCTTTCGTCACGTCCTTCATAGGCGATGTTACAATATCGTCCTTTTCTTTCACCACTTTTACGCAGGGTTCTTCCTTTACCTCGAGAGCGCCAGATTTCTCGTATGGAAGTTTGTCGGGCTTCTCAAATTTCTCAAGCTCTTCATGAATCGGAAATACTTCAGTAACATCAACTTTCTTCGGCATCACAATATCCTCGTGAACAAGATTGAGTTCCTCTTCTTCTAATTTAGCAACCTTCTCTGGAGATATTTTTTCACTTGGTATAGAAGGCTTCCTTTCTGTTAAAATTGGGGAGATTTCTTCTTTCGATGGCTTTCTATCCGTCGAAATCGGTGAAATCTCTTCTTTTTTAGGAGCTTGCTCGAATAACGTTTTGTCGGAAAGAAAATCGTCTTCTCTGAGAACCTCGGCGACTTTCTTCACAATTTCTATGACATCCTTGGGTTTATCTTCGAGCTCGATACCGGCAGTGCCAGCAAGGACTTCTCCGACGTCCCTAACAGCTTCTTTCATGTCTCTATATGGACCCTCTATTTCCTCTTCGTATTCCTCTTCGAATTCTTCATCTTTTGGTATAGCAAACTTGACCTTGTCCGGTTCTTTTATGTCGGGCAAGTGGCTCTCAATATGTGGCTTTATTTCTTCCAATTTCTCAGCCACCCCTTCCAAGGTATCCTTTACTGTATCTTTCAGGGCGGATGGCGTTTCATGTATCTCAGCTATTTCTTCTTTAATTTTGTCTTCCAAAGATTCCAATGAATCTCTTAAACTATCTTTCACAGTTTTGAATTTTTTCGAAGCTTCCTCCAAAAGTGCCTTTATCTCTTCTACATCTTCTCCGATATCTTCTTCCTTCAAAAGTTCAATCTCCTTCGCAATTTCCTTGTCTTCAATTAGTTTTGTTGGCAAAACGACGCCTGGTGATACGTCCTTTGCAAGGAATGATTCCTCGATTTTGGCTTCTACTTTTTTAATTTCATCCAACTTATCAGTAGGAAGCTTTTCTTCGATATCCGGCACTCTCTTCTTCTGTGCGTCCAGTATCTCTTCCTGTATAAACGCCGCGGTTTCCTTGATGGCAGCTACTTTCACGTCAACAGTCGTAGGTTTCGCCTCTTCGAACGTTTCAGGTTTGTCAACAGGTTTGCCAATTTTAGGGAACATCTTCTCCATATCAACCTCTTCCAAGAGCGTCTTCTCTTGCACTTTTGGTTCTTTTGGAGAACTTGATTTTGAGGAAGATTTTTCATCGGAATCCTTCTCAGAATCCTTCTTTTTCTTGGTCAATTTATCGATACCTTTTTCGAATTTATCCGCTACTTTGCCAAAGAAACTAAAAACACCCTTCTGCTCTTTTGCGGGCGGGGTGGGCAATTCTTTACCTTCTTGTGCAGTTGGCGATAGCTTCTCTTCTTTTCCCTTCTCGAAATCTTCCATCCTGTAGAGCTTAGGATCAACTTCTTCATGAACCGGAAGATCGGCAACCTCGTCTGGTGTTTTAACAATGTCTCTTTGCAAATTCGGCATCGCCTGACGAACATCAAATACTTTGACTTCCGGCTTGGCAGCCGCGAGAACAGCTTCCGGAATGATTTCCTTTTTCAGCTTTGCAGGAGCATCCTTCTCCTTTACTTCTTCAATAACATGTTTCTCGTCAATATCCTCTTTTATTTCATCTAACGGTATTCGTTCGTCTTCTGGCAAAGTCGGAGCAGTTGTGGTGGCCCCCGATTCTATTGTCGAGATTCGTTCCTGAGATTCTTCCATCTTTTCGAGAATATTCTCCTTCTGATCGACGTCCGGCTTTATATCCGTATCGGTTGTTTTTTTCTCCGATGAATCAAATTTATCTGGACTTAAACTGGATGGTTCTTTCGTGATGTCCTCGCTGTCTTTTTTACCGGAGTCGTCTTTCTCTTCGGCTTTTTGTATGATTTCGGCTGCGGATGCTATTATCTCTTTTACTTCTTCCTGTAATTGTTCCTTATGTTCCGTAGATAACTCAACAATTTCTTTCTCTTCTTTATCCAAAATCTTTTCTACTTTCTTTTCCGGACTATCATCTTTTCCCTTTTCCTCAGGTTCCTCCTTCTCGCCCTTTTCCTTCATTGCCTCCACGTCTTTTAGTACTTTTGCCTTTTCCGACTGAGCTTCGTCGAGAACATGCTTTTGTTCGCCCTCGCCGCTCTGAGCAGAATCTTCAGTGTAAACCTCTTCTTTCTCCACGATAAGATATTCGTCCTCTTCAGTTAATTCTTGACTTTCTTTTCTTGAACCTTCCTTCTTAGGTACATCTTCAATCTCGGCGGTAACATCCTCTTCTGTAATATCCTCCTCTTTCTTATCAGTGGCTTCAGCCGTGATTTCATCATCACCTTCAAAACGATCGTCCTTTCGGATCTCTTCGATTCTTTCCGCCTTTTGTAAAACAGCTTCAATTTCTTCCACTACTTCTCGCTCTTCTTTGAGATCTGCCAATACTTTACTTTCTATTGAATCTAATGATATATCTTCAGATTGTTCGATTAAGCTCTTATCAATCGGTTTTACAACTTCTGGTTCTACGCCAGATGGAGTGGAGACCGTGGATGAATCGGTAGTGCCTTTGTCGCCCTTCACTTTACGAATAACACCGTCTTTGTCCGATTTTACAGACGCGGTCGGAGTACTGCGAGTAGATTTCGCCGGACTACCCGGCATACGGGCTTTATTGGGACTAACCGGTTTCGCGCGACGACTAATCGGCTTCCTATCCATTGGTTTAGGTTTTGCGGTCATCTTGACAACGGGCGCTGCAGAATCCTTCACGGCAGACTTCTCAACTTCAGATTTCTTCTGTTCCACCACTTTTCTGTTATTAGCTTCCTTAGCACTCTTGGCTGGAAGACTTGGAGCAACCTTGACCGCCGGTTTCACCTTCGGTACAGCTTTCGATATCTCTGTCTTTGTTGCAGCACCATTCAGAGTCTTCTTCGGAGTAGTCGGGGAGGATTTCACGGCGTCTCTTTTCTCTGCACCAGAAGGTTTGGCTTTTTTCTCAATCAACTTCGGCTTCGGAGTTACTTCGCTTTTCTTCAATTCAACTTTCACCTTGCTTTCTTTTGGTTCTTTCTTTTTTGGTTCGGGCTTGGGCTTCGGTTCCTTAGGTTCCTTAGGTTCTTTAGGTTCCTTAGGTTCTTTGATTTTCTCAGATTCCGGTTTGATTAAATCAGACTTTTTCACATCGTCTTCTCGTTTTTCGGGCTTCTCCACTTTAATTGGTTCCTTCTTGGGCTCCTTTTTCACCTCTTTCAGTTCTTTTTCAATTTTCTTACTCTCTTTTGCCTCAGTCTCGATCTTCTTATTTTCCACAACTTTCTTCGTTTTCATTTCGGTCTTAGGTTTACTAGCAGGTATAATCGGCGTCGATTGAAGGATACTCTTGGGTACAGTCTCGTCTACGGCCTTGATGGACTTGGGCTCCGATGGTTCTCTCTTCTCTTTCTTTGGCTCCAAAATTTTCTTGGGCTCTTTCTCGATAAGACTAAGTTTTTGTTTGGTTGGTTTATCTCTGAGTGTCGCTAAAGACACTGACGGTGACAGAGTCTTCGCTGAACATACTGGATGCTTCAAAAAGTCCAGATGTTTTAATCGCTCGAAACCTTCGAAGATCTTGTGTTGCGGCGTGCTGCCGGGAAAGAGAATCCGCGTGATGTTATCCTCGGGATTGGCCGGCTGCCAAACTAGGAGTGCACATATCGACACAAGATTCTGTATCGGGAATGTGAGATTGTTCGAATCTTTCTTGTGAGAACCTGCAAACAGCTTCGAATCTGACGTGTGCCACTTCGCCAGGAATTCGCGCACTTCGCGACTGTCCTTGCTCGGGCTGAGCACGTACATATCCAGCGTGCCGTGGCCCACCTTGTGATAGAGGTTGATCGGATCGGGATCTCTGTAGCAAGGATGGGCGCGAAGATTAACGTGTCGAAGATTCATCACCATCTCTTGACCAATGTCAGTAAGGTTGAAAATGAGTGGATCAATGTCCTTATCGCCGTCTGGTGAATTTGATTGTCTTCTTTCCTACATTATGTATATTTTTAATGAGAAAATATAGCGAATATTAGCGATTATTATGAAGAATTTTAATTGTTATTATTATAAAATATACTGAATTTTCTTTAAAAAAAATGAATTGAAAACAATGACTACTTACAACTAAGTTACAGAAGAAATGACCGATTTGAGGATAGACGTGCATCTCCTTCTTCTTGCGAAGAACGCTAAACATGCCGCCGATGTTACTATTATTTATCCTAGTGACTAGAACAGCATCCAATCGGTCGAGATGCCTGGTGAAGTCCCAAAAACATGCTTTCCTAGCAAAGCCGCCGTCGACGAGCATATTGAAGCCGTTTATACCGAAAAGCGCGGCATCACCTTGCCCACCGGGGAAGACGTATAAGGTTGGATGGCTAAATCTAATGTTTCCAACGACGTCGGACGGTTCCATGAGCTGGTCCAGTGTTTGCGACACGAGGTACTGTCCGATGTAATTCGTAAAACTCATGATAGCCGGCACGCCGGCTGTGAGAACATCGTCGGGATTCACTCTGACTCTGCAAGATCTGTTAATAAAAAGAACATGAAATATTCGAGAAAGAAAAGTATTATGCAATATATTATTTATATTTTTAATTTTTATTTTTCATCTTTTGTGTGTAATATCCTATGTTTGTTATACATGAAAGAGCTTCTATTATGTGACACAAATTAGAATTGATCATGTAGAAAAATGTGCAAGAGAGATATACACCTGCAACAAGCCTCTTTCAACAATCGACTTGTCGTCCAATCGCCAACACCCGCGCAATGTATATCTACGGTAACGCTATTCTCGTAGGCACGAAGGACTCTTTGCACCTCATGTTCGCTGAACGCATCCAGAAAGTCTGCGAGACTGAAGGTTCCATCCTGAATAACAGGAATTATTTGTCGTTTTGTAATTCAAGACTATTCTCTGCCAATATTTCACACAATTATAAATTAACATTTTGTTTCTGGCAAATAATAATCAAATATATTCGTACGAAGTGTAAATACCTGCAGTATCCAGGAACCATTACCACCGAATGTGTATCCAGCGTGTATGATGTGCCGATGTTTCGTGAAGCTTGCAAGGAGATTGCGAATACACTGTAATAACGTATTCGTCTGTGGGTGAATAAGAACTTCCGTTACGAGGTTCTCGGTGGCATATTGGATCAACCTTTCGCCTGAAAATTTCATTTTCATTAATAACTTATGTGATAATAATAATTAATAACTTCTACGACATAATAATAATTAATTATACATAACATAAAACGAATCAAATCAATATAGGTGTGACAATAAATTACCATTTCTGGCTTCTTCGCCTTCGGGGGCTTGCGCTACTAAGGCCAATAATTCCTTCTCCAGATCTACGTGACAACTGTCCTTGTCCCATGATAGAAAACCTGCAACAATCGAAGAAAAAAACGGCGATCGCTAAATATAGCTGAACTTTTGAACGGATCTTCTTCATACATGTTAAGCAGATACTGATATCGGAAAACTTATGGAATGGAATCTGCATATAAATCACTGCTCATCTTCAAGATTGAGTGTAACTTTAGATATTCCGGTGACATGCTCTCTCATGAACTTGGCCAAGCTTTTCTGAGCTCTGATATTTTGAATGGAAACTGGGTTGTTCTCGTTTTAGATCATCACTGTGTATGCGCGATGTTGAACTAGAGAAGTCAGCTCACCGAAATTCGCTGTAAGCGAATAGATATCTATCTTGAAAATATGAACCACAGAAAAAATACATAATCCGGGGATTTTTTATGAATGTTATTCAACTTTATAATTTTTCTAAAAAAAAAAAGCCTTTTTAAACATTGAAACAGAGAGAGAGAGAGAGAGAGAGAGAGAGAGAGAGAGAGAGAGAGAGATATTAAGAGAGACATTTTAAATATTGCTTTTTAAATATCGCCCGAGTATAAGATGTTTATAGATGAATGGAATAGTAGGTCATAACTGCGTATAAATGTGTAAAACTGCAGTGGTTTGGCTTCATAGAATAAGGATAGTTCAGCCACCAAGTGATGTAAGGTTAAAGTTAAGATGTTAGAAACTGTCAAGACCAGTTATAGATTGATTGATGAGAAAAGTAAATTAAGTATTACATTATAATTCACAATTTTCTCTGATGTTTTATCAACAAACATATGTTTGACGTAGATTGAAACGGATATAAAAAATAATACATCTTCATTTATTTATATTTGCGCTGGTTTACAGTTACAATTGTTATAAAGTGATTTCACGTTACGTTTAAAATTAAAACGTACTGTTTGTATAAAAATTAATGAATTATTTTTATTCAAGGCAGCTCAGAGAAACAAAAATTTATATTATAAGATATAATTAATATCTGGTAAGAAATTGAATAATTGTCTATTTATAATATATTATTATTATTATTATATTGTCTATTATTAATAAATTAAAATATTTGTAAATGTTTCGTTTAAAGTTTTTAGAATAATTATATTTTTACTATACAAATATGAAAGATTAATTACGAATTACGTACAGTTAATGTAAGAAAAGAAAAGAGAAAGTGCATCTCAAAACTTAATTGAATAATTAGGATGAATGAATCAGCAGTCGTAGTTTATCATGAGGGTTGCTTGGGGCGGTCGTTTTATGACGTCACCAACACCGCACCCCGTCACGTGGTTCCTTACCAGCTGGCAATCGATCGTCGCACATCCTGTACCCACCCTCTATTGCCAACTTTAACGCAGAGATACTCCACTTTTGATATCATACAAAAAATTTCCTACGCTGTCAGTCATTTCTCGTTTAGATAAATTTTAAAATAATTATAATGAAAATGAAAAAAAAATTAAGAAGACCGGAAATAAAAGAAATTATTTTTAATATGACTAATATGACTAATACATTATTATTGTACTTTATAAATATATTGAATGTATCAAATATATATATTTATTAAATTATAAGATATTGGTAGCAACATCTTATATCTCTAGAATCAATTCTGTACAATTTCTGTAAATCGATTTTATCGCTCAATATTTCACGATGCAATCCAAGTGCAAGGCTTTTCTTAGACCTCCAATGCGGAAGTGTTAAAAAAATTCCACCTGGAATCCTGTATGGAATTAAAGAATTGATGATACAGCATAATGGAACGTAACTCGTTGTCAAGGGAGTTCAGACTCGCTCTCGCGTAATTCTATACTAGCGTGTACACAGACAAGTCTCGAGACGTTGCCTGGCAACGTCGTAGTATCAATCAATGCCGAGGATAGAGAGGAGCCGGGGAAAATTAACGAAAAAGAAGAAAAAAGGAGAGAAGACGCGCGAGCAGAAGGCGTTAGTCGGTGCAACGAATTCCGCGCGGCTTCCTCCCTGCCTCCAATTTTATCCCGCAATAAGTAAATACGTGTTGCATACTTTCCAGTAAACGTGGACGCTATTATTAGCAGCTCAACTGACGAAATATATATCGCATTTTCGCGAAATTACATTCAAAATAGCGAATACGCGGAATATGAATTATGCGAACCCACGTACATTGCCAAAACAAACCAAATTCGTTAATTGATCAATCAATTACATTCCAAAGCTTTCTGTATAATTTCGGCTATATTACAGTTTTTGAACAGTAAAATCTTCAGTCAATTAAATAGATTAATGTTAACGGAAAAAATGGTATATTATGCAGTAAATTGAAAGGATCGCAAGTCCATTACATCGAGTCTTATCTGACATCAAAAAGAGTCACATTGTTAGAACAGAACACACATCGTAGCATGCTCGACGTGTCAAACTGATCGGAAGCCCCAAAGCTGATACGAGAGAAGCCGTTTCTTAATACTCACAGCTGTGCCGTTACTTAATTCTCACTGACCCCTACAGGTTTTGACTGCAATATCAATATCAGAAGCATCACAATCACAACCGAGTCCGAAAATTTGCATAGGACAAATCTTCTTGAGCTAAACGTTTAATCACATCAGATTCGATTTTTTCAAGATATAAAACGTATCGGTCACAAGACTTGAAAACAATTTTTTAAATACAGATTTCGTGCTGCGAGCACGCAGCACAAAAATAATCTTTACATTTATTAGGAATTAGGAGAAATGAATTTATCAAAATTGCGATTTTAATTCATAATCGCATTATGACGCAATTTTGTGAATTCTTATTAATCTATTTAATATATCGAATTAAAACTTAAATCACATCTTCGCCTGAACCGTGCTTCATGTTTTATTTACATTTGTAGCTCTCGCTTGTTTGGATAAATAATATTCTTGCGAGAAGCAAAGCGAGTGTCTCTTTTTTTCTGTTTATTTACTAGAATGAAACAAATCAATTCTCGAGCATTCCGGGCTTTAGAAATTCTCCTCCAATTTTCGAGACTTGTTTTCCAAGCTCGCTAAATATTCACAAAGCGTTTGCTTTTGTAAATTTATTTTATAAACGGCAACACACACCGAAAATGAATACGGTTTGTAACTGCAGTTAAAGGATCGTTAATTGAAACAGATGCTTTAATTAAATTGCCCACAAGCTTTATCCGCGAATTTCCGTTCGATAGAATGAACCATCGCGCCAATCAAAGAAACCGCGCGGAATTCGAAGCTCGGAGTCAAATAAACCACGCATTAAAAAAAGCAAAAAAACATTCAGCTACGAGTTTCGATAAGTAAAGAGGAAAAACGTTGCGACGTTAAAGTGTGGCTCGAATGATATCTGCCGTCGAGTGGACGAAAAAATGGCGCTGGATAATCCGTCAGCGATTTATCTCGCGAATACTAAAGGGCGCGTTTGTTCTACCGAAAATTCCCGGCTTTAATCCCGAGTACGATATTTTGTCATCGTATCACGAGTACGCGAATACGTGTGAACGTACATACACGCAGCACACATTTTCACGGAACAGGCCGCGGACGTCGACGTATCCAGCGTATTCTACGGTTTCCTGCTTTAGAGCGTGACGTTCTGACACGCCGCTTGTACCATACGCACAATGGGGATGTATCTAAATAGGCGATCGTCGTGTGAAAAGTGTAGGAGGACTATTCACGATCGACCGCGGTAATATATACAGCGCGCGTCGCAATATATTACATTTACAAAAAGGGGAAAAAATCCAAGGCCAGCTTTATCTAACAAGGTTTTCTCTTCGTACGGCTAACTCGATCGTCCTCCCTGACCTATAATATTTCTGCTCCGAGCGATGTTTTTTTCCTTTCAAACTGGCGTCGCAAAAATAAAAATGTCGCGAATGAACGTTATTAGATATAATTCGATGTAATCGTCGCTCGAGCAATGTTGATCTCACCCTCATAATCTCACAAAGTATCTATGTAGAAGAAATATTTGACACTCGATGTCCCTATGGATTAGCAGCTTAAGCTAAGTATAGACAAAACGTTTCCTCGCGGTAGCTCCCGCCTCGCGCATCCCTTAAAGCACTCGCGTTTCTCGATTTGCACATTTGACTTTTCTTTTTTTCTTGGACCGACGACGGATGCCGCGAATGCTGGGTTTGTCCCGACTATGTTTAGAAATGGTTTCTCGTTGTCCTGCTCGCAATGCGCCTACATGTGTGTAATGAGTACACGTGCGACATAAAGTATCGCTTTAGCAGCCGGCAAAAGAGATAGTTACGCACGTAACTCTACATTATATATATCAATCGATTCAAATTTCTCTTCTAAAGTGTAATAACATTTTTTTTTATAAAATGCATATAATTTTTTATTAAAATAAACAAAAACTCCTGACAAATCGAATTAAAAACAAAAATATATAGGTATATAGGAGTCAGTTTATTATAAAAATTTGAGATAAGGAAAAGAAGCTGTACATCTCGGCGGTAAAAATAATTTTAATGGAACATCGCGCATCCATTATAAATATAAACATGCGCCAATGTTCCAGTATCTTGAAAATATCGACTAAACTGAAATATATGCGGACGTAAAGCCTTTGTAATGTAAGAGGGTCAAAAAGTTTCTTATAGGCAGATCGCTGACATCGTTCTCGATTAATCTCTCAGGAAGAAATGTCAAAGAGGAAGTCGATAATGACCCATTATTTCGCGCGCGGTTCGGGTTTCAATATAGATTATTCATACGCATTTCATTATACAAATATTACATGCCCAATTTCAGAAATGAATAATTATGGAATTAATTTTGGAAATGATAAAGATAACGATGACCAATTTTTCCTCGATAATAATTTTATTTTTATGTATACATACCTATAACGTAAATTTTGCTCGGATTTAATACGATAGAATAATACAATACAATTGTGTGGTACATGTCGATTTTATCGATATCTAATATGTAGGTGTATGTAAGTTCCGTGTACTATAAAGGTCTTTGATCGAGTACAGAGTTTGACAGGCCGAAAGTAG